TTTCCCTCTTAACACTATTTTAGCTGTGTCCTAGAGATTCTGGTACATTGTCTCTTTGTTCTCATTCATTTCAAAGAACTTCTTGATTTCTGCCTTAATTTCATTATTTACCTAGGAGTCATTTAGGAGTAGCTTGTTCAATTTCCATAAAATAGTGTGGTTTTAAGTGAGTTTCTTAATCCTGAGTTCTAATTTGATTGCACTGTGGTCTGAGAGACTATTATTATTTCAGCTTTTTTCCATTTGCTGAGGAGTGTTTTACTTCCAATTATGTGGTTGATTTTAGAATCAGTGCCATGTGGCACTGAGAAGAATGTATATTCTGTTTATTTGGGGTAGAGAGTTCTGTAGACATCTACTAGGTCCACTTGATCCAGGGCTGAGTTTGAGTCCTGAATATCTTTGTTAACTTTCTGTCTCATTGATCTGTCTAATACTGACAGTGGCGTGTTAAAGCTTCCCACTATTATTGTGTGGGAGTCTAAGTCTCTTTGTAGGTCTCTCTATCTCTCTCTCTCTCTCTTTTGAGACCAACTCTCACTGTTGCCCAGGCTGGAATGCAGGGGCCCAGTCCTGGCTCACTGCAATCTCCACCTCCTGGGTTCAAGCAATTCTCCTGCCCAAGCCTCCCAAGTAGCTGGGATTACAGGTGCGTGCCCCCACACCTGGCTAATTTTTTTGTATTTTTAGTAGATATGGGTTTTCACCATGTGTGCTAGGCTGGTCTTGAACTCCTTACCTCAGGCTATCCATGCTCCTCAGCCTCCCAAAGTACTTGATTACAGACATGAGCCACCACATCCAGCCTCTTTGTAGGTCTCTAAGTACTTGTCTTATGAATCTGGGTGCTCCTATGTTAAATGTTTCCTGAATTTGCATGCTGGCCTGTCTTGCTAGGTTGGTGCAGTTCTCCTGGATAATACCCTGAAGTGTGTTTTCCAGCTTGTTTCCATTCTCCCCATCTCCTTCAGGTACTCCAATCAATCGTAGGTTTGGTCTTTTTATGAAGTCCCATATTTCTTGGAGGCTTCGTTCATTCTTTTTTTTTCTCTATTCCTGTCTGCATGTCTTATTTCAGTAAGGTGGTTGTCAAACTCTCATATCCTTTCTTCTGTTTGGTCGATTTGGCTGTTGATACTTGTGTATGATTCATGAAGTTCTCGTGCTGTGTTTTTCAGCTCCATCGGGTTGTTTATGTTCCTCTCTAAACTGGTTATTCTAGTTAGCAATTCCTCTAAGCTTTTATCAAGGTTCTTCGCTTCTTTGCATTGGGTTAGAGCATGTTCCTTTAGCTCATTGTAGTTTTTTATTACCTATCCTCTGAAGCCTACTTCTGTCAGTTTGTCTGTCTGTTCCTCTGTCCAGTTCTGCACCTTTGATGAAGAGACATTGCAATCATTTGGAAGAGAAGAGGCACTCTGACCTTTCGGGTTTTCAGTATTTTTTCACTGATTCTTTCTCATCTTTGTGAGTTTGTCTAGTTTCAGTCTTTGAGGCTGATGACCCTTGGATGGGCTTTTTTTGGGGCGGGGTCATCTTTTGTTGTTGTTGTTGATGCTGTTGTTGTCACTTTTTGCTTGTTTTTCTTTCAGTAGTCAGGTCCCTCTTCTGTGAGGCTGCTGCAGTTTGCTTGGGGTTCACTTCAGGCTCTACTCATCTGATTCGCTCCTGTGCCTGGAAATGTCACACAAAGAGGCTGGAGAGCAGCAAAAATGGCTGCCTGCTTCTTCTTCTGGGACCTCTAACCTGGAGAGGCACCAAACTGATGCCAGTAGTATTGCTCCTGTATAGTGCGTCTCACAACCCCTGTTGGAGGGTCTCACCCATTTGGGTGGCATGTGGAGCAGGACCTGTTTAATGAAGCACTTTGTCCCTTGGTGGAGAGGGTGTGTTTCACTGTGGGGAAACCCATTCATCTGGGCTGCCCAGATTCCTCAGAACTACCAGAAAGAGAGGCTAAGTCTGCTGGTCTGCAGAGACTGTGGCCACTCCTCCCTCTAGGGACTTGGGCCCCGGGAGATCCCAGTTTTGTCCCTGAGCCTCTGACTGGAGTTATTGGAGATCCTGCAGGGAAGCCCGGCGGACTGAGGAAGGATGGGTCAGAGTTAGGCCTGAAGACACACTCTGGCTGCAGACTGCCACAGCCATTGTGTTGGGCTATGGGGACAAGTCTTGGGACCAAGCCTTCCAGTCTCCCTGGCTCTAGCAAGGGAAAAGTGCAGCCTGGAGCTATAGAAATGGGAGCTGCCCTTCCCCTACCCAAAGAGCTTAGGTGTTAGGCAGTTGAAAGTCCCAGTGCTGGCTGCTGTCCCTCCCCCAAGGAGCTCAAAGGACTTAGACAGCAGGCAGCCAAGCCAGTGCTGGTCGCCCCTCTCCCCAGGAGTTCTGTGGGTTTAAGCAGATTCCAGCTGAGAGGCTGTAAGAATCTGTGCATTCTGGGCTTGGTATACTATGCTCCTGTGGTGTGGGTTCAGGAATGGGATCTTCTGATCTATGGGTTGCACAGTTCCATGGGAAAAACAGTTTTCCTGGCCGCATAGTGCACTCACTCATGCCTCCCTTGGCTGGGGTGAGGGGGTTCCTCGTCCCCTGTGGCTCTCAGGTGGGCTACCACACCACACTGCTCTTAGGTCATGCCGGCCTCCATAGCTCATGCTGGCCTCCTAGTCAATTTTGATGAGAGAACCTGTATGCTTTGGTTGCTGGTGAAGGAGTCACATGCTGCTGCTGCTGCTGCTACTGCTACTGCTGCTGCTGCTGCTGCTGCTGCTGCTGCTGCTTCTT